CACAAATGCGACCATCGTTGGAGACTCTTTCTCCGCACCCTCCGGAACCCCGTAAATTCTCACATTCTCGCATCTGGAGCGACCCTCCAAGTCCGTTAGTATGTCCTCTAGCCTCCCGTGTAGCTTTAGCATCTCCGTCAGGACTTCTTCTGTGTTTTGAATCCTCTCCTCTGCTTTCTCGATTCGACCTTCCGCTTCATCCATTCTGGTGTTCACTTTCATAATTTCTTCTTTAATTGTCTCTAGTTGGGGGCGGCAGTAGCTCAGTCTGTAGGGACTTGGGTTGGGAATCAGATGGTCACTGGTTCAAGTCCTGGCACTTACCAAGTCCAGAAATTGGCCTGGTAGCTGTAGAGGTGCCTGAGCACTGCCAAGGTGCTTATGTTGTCGCGCCTCGTCTCCTTCACCACCCCTGCTTTTTACTAACGTTTACTGCTCGGTATCTTGGTAGGTATCTCGCTCCCTCGCTTTATGCTTTTAGTTAGAATGTTCTTCTCTGTTTATATGGGAGTATTACTCTAATTACTCTGGTTCAGTTGGGAGCTCCTTCCCTATGCGACCATCATGACGGTGTTCCGACCGGAAGTCCATCAATTAATTCATTTTTTAAAGCATTCATTGACTCTTCTGTCCGTACTCTTCTGTACTTGACTGTACTCTCCTGTTTTTCCCTCTTGTAGTCGTTATTGAAAACTACAGTATAAACACTGGCAGATGGTCACTGATGTCATTGATCATTAATCCACTTATTGTATTATTGTCTATAATGTTTGTAAATATGTTGTCAATCAATGTGGCACAGTGAGATGTAATCCTGCTGGGTCTGGTGATTTTTGGATAGAGGCTTAGACTGTACATTGTATTGATAAAGTCTTCAGTTGGTTTGTGGTTATTGGGATTAAGCAGATCTATATTAAAATCCCCACAGATGAACATGACCTTTTGATTAGATATTGTGAACATTTCTTCCACCCATTCTTTGAATATATCAATATTGGAACCCGGTGCTCTATAAATACAGCTAACAATTACGTTCTTCTTTTTTTCCATGCAGATTTCAACAGTTAAACATTCTAATAAATTTCCGATTGCAGTTGTCATTCCATCTACCACCTTGCAATTAAGGTTTTTGTCCACATACACAGCCACACCTCCTCCAGTCTTGTTCTCTCTGTTCTTGTAGTTAAGTTCATAGCCATCTAATTCAAAGTCCACACCCTATTCAGGGTTGATCCAAGTTTCTGATATTGCAATTATGTTAAATGGTTGTGCAAATTGACGTAAATATTCCTTAAAGTTGTGAAAATTTGCATACAGACTTCTACTGTTAAAATGAATGATTGATAGTTTCTGATCTGCCTTAATGGTCTTATTGTACTGTTCATCTGTGTAATAGCTGCAGTCGTCATTGATGTTTAAGAAGAAGTTATTTTCCGGGTCGATATTGTATTCCATGTCTTGTAAATTGTGCTCCGTGTATTCAAATGTTTTCAGTTCCAGATTCTCATTATCAGCAATCATTTGGGTTATAGGTATAATGTCTCCAGATGTAGATGAATGATTTCCTTTAGAGTGTGTCACGATTGTATAGGTTTTTTACTCACTTGTGTTTCCAATTCGGCCTCACTGGAAATTGTCCAGCTCTGCAATGTCTCTGATCACCATCACTTTGGCCTCCTCCGGTGTTCCGTTAAGCTTTAGGAAGATTTTGCAGTTGTTGGTCCACGTGGATTGTATTTTATTTTGTTTCTTGATGAATCGTGCTTGCCTGGCTATATCTGCATTTCGTTTTGTTAAGTGTTCATTGATGTAGACGTCTGTCCCCTTCAGCTGCCTGCCTTGTTTCAGTAGTGCAATTTTGTGTTTACGGTTCACAAACCTCATTATTATGGCCGGTTTGTCTGTGTTGTTTTTGCGGGGCAAAGGATGACAAGCCTCGATGGTGTTACAGTCAAAGTCGATTCCCTTTGACTGTAGGAATGCTGCCACTTGTTGCTCCGAGGACTCGGAGACTGCCTCTGGTTCGCCGTCACGGTCAGCGGTCACTGCCTGTGCATACGACCGGGGTTTTATTTTGAGCCCCGATATAATAATATCGTTCATTCTGGTGTATTGCTCCAGGTCGGCCACTCTGCTCTCCAGGAACACGATCTTCTTGTCCTTCTCCTCGTTCTCCAGCCTCAGCGCCTTAACCTCGGCCACCAGGTCCAGGATGGATTTCTGCTGCAGCCTGACAGCGGTAATCTCCCCCGAGAGAAAGTCCAGCGACTTCTTAATGTCGTCGACTTCCTCCATCGCCGGTTTTATTTTCGGCATGGTGACTCTGGCTTGTTGCCAGCCGGCTTTGTCCAAGTGCAAGCTAACCAAAGAGTGCCTTGGCCTGGCCTGGTGGAGCTGGCTGCTGGTTAATCCTGGGCCTGGCCTGGTCAACATATTGATGTATTTTCTGCCAAAGTCAAAGCTTTAGTTTTAAAGAGCCCATATTATGCCCTTTTTGGGGTTGGTATATTTAATCTATGTACTTACTAAAGTATGTTCACAATAGCTAAAGTTCTAAAAAAAAAGTGTCTGTTTTCATGTATTGCTGCTCCATGCAACGGGTCGCTTCTGACTCTCTCTCTAAGGCTCTGAAGTGCCCACGTTCAGAGTCCCCACATGTGCCAAGTCTGATCTGATTGGTCGGCCTGTCGGCTCTGATGCTGTGATAGGTCAGTCGCTCACTTTGGCTCCGAGGAGAGCATAAACATTAGCACCATAGCATAATAATAATATTTCCTCTGGGAAATATTATGAGGAAACACTCCATACAGTTTCATTGTTATGCAGATGATACTCAGCTTTATGTATCAATGAAGCCCGATGGCACCAGTCAGTTATGTCAGCTAGAAACGTGCCTTAAGGACGTTAGGACCTGGATGACCAGAAAGTTTTTGCTACTTAACTCAGACAAGACTGAAGTTATTGTGCTAGGCCCTAAGAACCTCAGAGAGACTTTTTCTAGTGATTTGACTGTCCTTAGTGACATCAGCCTGGCATCTAGCACCACTGTTAGGAATCTAGGAGTTTTATTTGATCAAGATATGTCCTTTACCTCTCACATCAGGCAAATTTCAAGAACAGCCTATTTTCACCTTCGTAATATATCCAAGATCAGGAATATCCTGTCGCAAAATGATGCAGAAAAACTAGTTCATGCATTTGTTACCTCCAGATTGGATTATTGTAACTCTCTTTTGTCAGGGTGCTCTGGTAAGTCTCTAAAGACTCTTCAACTAGTCCAGAATGCTGCAGCTCGTGTACTGACTAGAACTAGGAAAAGGGACCACATCACTCCTGTGTTGGCTTCTCTGCACTGGCTCCCTATACAGTCTAGAATAGAATTCAAGATCCTTCTTCTCACTTACAAAGCTCTAAATGGCCAGGCACCATCTTATCTTAAGGAGCTACTAGTACCATACTGCCCCTCGAGAACATTACGGTCCCAGAATGCAGGCCTACTAGTGGTACCTACAGTCTCTAAGTGTACTATGGGAGGTAAAGCCTTCAGTTACCAGGCTCCTCCTCCGGGGTCCGGGAGGCAGACACAGTCTGTATTTTTAAGAATAGACTTAAAACTTTCCTTTTTGATAAATCTTATAATTAGGGCTGGTGTAGACCAGCTTTTAGTTATGCTGCTATAGGCTTAGACCACCGGGGGAACTGGCACCTTGAGCTCCTCTCTCTCTCTCTCTCTCTCTCTCTCTCTCCTTCTGTGCACATACAGTACATCATATTACTGCATGTATCTATCTGTAAATCTCAGTCACTAACCACCTACTTTCCTGGGAGCTCTTGAGCTCTCTTAGGCTCCTCAAGATCGTTGGTTGACGGCCTGCCAGAACAGCTACAGCCAACAGGAGGACGTAGGAGAAGCCTCATTTACGCAGACTTTGAATTTTTGCAAATAGATGTGCCTAAACATGCACAGGACACTTGGAAAACACACTAAAGAGCATATAAAACCAGAAAAAGCATAATATGGGACCTTTAAAGTATTGCTTTAGTTATTCCTGGACATCTTTATTTGTTATTTTACCCAGAAACTTACCTCTGTGCTTTTCCTGTGAGGGAATGTGTCAACAATCATATGAAAGGTACAGACAGCTGTGTGAACGGCGGGAGTTGCTATGGAGACATCATCAGCTGCGTGAACGGCGGGAGTTGCTATGGATACATCATCAGCTGCGTGAACGGCGGGAGTTGCTATGGAGACATCATCAGCTGCGTGAACGGCGGGAGTTGCTATGGAGACATCAACCGGCTGGTTTAAAGGGGTCATATTATGCTTTTTCTGGTTTTATATGCTCTTCAGTATATAAAAATTTGTCAGTGTGACGTCTTGTCAGTGTGAGATCACTGATCGAAGCCCATTGGCTCGTTGTGGCCCTGCAGCTCATGTTGCACGCTCATTAACTTCTGTAGCACGCCCACGATATGCCGCAGCCTGCGGTAGCACAGTAGTGCTAAGGTGCTAATGCACATTAGCTTGAGCAAAAGACGCACTTGGAAAGAATATTCAGCTCCTTCTCTCTGTGGAGATTCTGATGCTTCTGGAAGTTCACAACCACAACATGTAAGTACCCTTCATTAATTGTCTTTTTTATTTGTTTGAAAACAACTTTTGAGCTGCTGGATACATTAGTTCTGTGAAGGCTGTCTGTAGCTGAACTGTAAGCCTCGGCTAACATGCTAAGTAACGCTTTTTTTCTAAATTAGAGCAGTACTAAACTATTTATCAACTTTCATCTAAAGCGGTAACAGGTATAGCATTGTTAGCTGAGCTCATTTTTCAGATGAGTGTGAAAAATGAGCAATAACCAAACATTCTGAAATAGATTTTTGTTCTTAAATTACTTTTTTACAGAATATGTCGGGGACTTGATGGCACTGGTGTTGGAGGAGGTGCCAGAACCAGGAACCAGGAACCAGAACCATTCATGGAGGAGCTGCAGAAAATGCCGGACTCGAAAAAAGAAGGAGGGGTGGCTCGACACGTGTCCAGGTGTAGTCAAGGGGCGGGTGGAAGCCAACATACTGTCCAGTCGGGTCAGGAAACTCGGGGTGAATCCTCAGGACGACACACGACCGGATAACCACTCCAACCACTGCCAAGTGTCTGCACAGCCTGTAAGGAGACAATATAGATGGATGGAAAAATGTTACTTCTCATTGTATATTCACACGTATAGTTCTACACATTTAAATGTTTTTTAACCTTAGCTGAGAATAAAGAACTTTAAACAAACGATTTTCTCACTTGTTTACTTTTATTCCTCTGAAATAGTGAAACTGTTTGATTAGAATGAATTTGATTGAAGATGTAAATCATTATTTATAATGAACATACTCTTCTGCAGTTCTCTGTGATGTTCTCCTCTGAAGATGTTGTGGATGTTTTGAAGTGTATATGGGTTTAAACAGTCCTGGATGTTTTTGGTACAAGGAACAGGCAGCGGATTCATTCTCCTGATGAAAGAAGAAGATACTGATTAAAATGAAATAATGTTCAATAAGAAGGAAAATAATGACAGAGGAGGAAACATTATTGCATGAGATATTGATCCAACAAACACGTGATTATCACCTGGGCTTTTGTAGTCAAAGTAAGTCTATGATGTCATTGATACTTACAATTGCTCATTGAATTTTTAATCACATCAAGGAGGTGATATACAATGCAGAACAAGGTGAGTCGCTGCAATAAACAACGTACAGTACTAATGTAAATACAATAAAATGTATTGTACAGAACACATTTGTGGTCAATAATCATATTGTAATAAAGCCAAACTTTGTGAAGCCACAAGTAAGATATATATTTTTGGATTAGGGAAATATGCTGGTAGCTCCAGTCAGTGAAATTGGAAGAGGCTAACGTATGCTGCAAAATAAATACCTACAACACTGAAACGTCGTGCTCATGCCTTCGTGGCAAAGGTTGTTGTGTTTGTTCCTCCTCTCTGTCAGATTGGTGAAGTTGCCATTTCCGTTTGCATACCGATGTTTTTGCTCCCCCTCGGAGCCAGTAGCTGCATTCCCAATATGGTAAAAGGGGCGGGACATTTCCGAGAACCGTACTGAGCGACTGACCAATCACGACAGAGCCCACAGGCCGACCAATCAGATCAGACTGGGCACACGTGGGGACTCTGAACGTGGGCACTTCAGAGCCTTAGAGAGAGAGTCAGAAGCGAGCCGGTGCATGGAGCGGCAGTTCATGAAAACAGACACTTTGTTAGAACTTTATCTATTGTGAACATACTTTAGTAGATACATAGATTAAATATATGAACCCCAAACAGGGCAGAATATGGGCTCTTTAAATAAATTTGGTTTGTACAAAATAAATTAAAATTTGGATCGCAATTTCTCTTTAAGGAGTTGGTGGTGGGTCCTGAGGCTGAATGGGATGAATGGAAAACCGCCTTGAACACACCTTGTGGCCACTAAGAATATCAGGTCATGTCATTTCACTAATGCCCCAGCAGTTTTTTTTCCAGGCCCTGGAGAATGACATTCTAAGGTACTGGTTCTCAACTGGTTTAGCCTCAGGACTCATCACCAACTCCTTAATGAGAAAGTCCCACCCAAACTTCTGATATTTTTCAACCATTTAGATCTGTTAATGAAAAAAGGTTCGGACCTCAGACAGTTCAAAACATGAGACAGAACAAAGAGAGGAAAACAAAACAAACATGTTTTAAAAGTGCTTCATAGATTTTTTGACACTTTTTTCCCCAGGCACACCTTCGCAACCCTCTGAAAACGGCTAAGCGACCCACTTTTGGGTCCCGACCCATGAGTTGAGAACCACTGTTCTAAAAGACATGTTGAACAAGGTTGTTTTTGTCTACCTTGATGAATTTTGATCTTCTCCAGCCAGGGGAAGAGCACGTGTTACAATGGTTGCTGGAGAATCAACAATTTGTCAAGGTGGAGAAAAGAGTCCCAGGGTTTGCTAACTGCAGATAGTGTCCATGTTTGATGACCAGTCCAGCCTGTCGTCCAACTGCAGCCCCAGGTACCCGTAGGTCTTGACCACCTCCACGTCGACCCCCCCCGATGAAACAGGTTGTAGATGTGGCTTGTTCCTTCGATTATATATCCCATCTAGCTTTGGAACGCCTCGGAATGCCCCAGGAGGAGAGATGTAGTCTGGGTTGGTGCTGCCGGGGATTAGCATGCCCAGGCATCCAGCTGGGCTTGTATTTAATTCTTGAGGGAGTGTTGGGGGTTGATGGTTGGAGCCAAGGAGAACCACTTCTTGAGGGATTGAAAGAGCCTCTTCAGCTTCAATATTCCATGCATATCTTGTTCCTGGGAAAATGAGAGCATTGAGAAGGGCTGCAGCAGAACTATAGTTCCTAATAAAATGTCAATAGAAGGAAGGGACAGAACCGTCTGTACTTCCTGAGAAGGCTGGGGTCCTTCAACATCTGTAAGAAGCTGCTGCAGATGTTTTACCAGTCCGTGGTGGCCAGCGTCCTCTTCTATGCTGTGGTGTGCTGGGGAGGAAGCAGCAAGAAGAGGGATGCAGCACGGCTGGACAGACTGGTGAGGAAGGCTGGCTCTGTGCTGGGCGCAGAGCTGGACAGTGACAGTGGCAGAGAGAAGGACCCTGAACAGAACGCTCTCCATCATGGACAACCCCCACCACCCTCTGCACAGCACCTTCACCAGGCAGAGGAGTGTGTTCAGTGGCCGGCTGCAGTCACAATCCTGCTCCACAGACAGACTCAAGAACTCTTTTGTCCCCCTGGCCATACGTCTGTACAACACCTCACGGTTATGGCAGGGGGAAAGCAGCACACACTTGGACTAAAATCTTCCTTTTTCCATTTCCTTTCTGCACAGCTGTCCCAAGAGTCAGCCTCTAGTTGGACACTTTAATGATCACCTCAATTACTTACATAGCACCTTTAATTTAATGTTTGCACTGCCTGTTATTTAATGTCTGTTTTTGATAGCTCTGCACTGTCTGCTTTTAAAACATTGCTGTACATATATAAACAACACAACTTCAGAAGGTCAATATTTTTGTTTTTTTATATTCAGGTCTAATTACAGATTTTTTCCCTCAACTGTTTATAGGTTCTTGTTTTAAATTACACATATATTTTTATTCCTGCACGGGTTATGTACATTTCTTGTATAAGTCTATTTTTAATTGCACAGTTTAAGTTTGATTCAATGGGGGGGGGGGGGGGTCGTTTTGTGGTTAATTTGTGACAAATGTTTCATGTCATGTACGTCTTTGTAACCTGCTACTGGATGCTTTGAATTTCCCCTCGGGATCAATAAAGTATCTATCTATCTATCTATCTTTCTAATCCCTCCAGCGAACTCTGGGTCTACCCCGGGGTCACCCTAAGATACTTAAACTTCTTCACCTGGGGTAAGGCACACTCCCCAGCTGGAGAGAGTAATCTATTGTTTTCCAGCAGAGAACCATGGCCTCAGACTTAGAGGTGCTAACCCTCGTCCCAGCCGTTTAGCACTTGGCTGCAAACCGTCCCAATGCCTGCTGGAGGTCCCAGCATGAGGAAGACAACAAACCTCATCATCTTCAAAAAGCAGAGATGAGATTTCTCACCTTGGGTTTCTGTCCAGGAAAATCACAAACACAAGGGGCAACCCTGGCAAGGCCAAAACCCATTGGGAACGTGTCTGACTTTGTGCTGAGGATGCGGACACAGCTCCCACTTGTGTCATACAGGAACCGGATGGCTTGTAGCAACGGCCCCGGGACCACGTATTCCCGCAGTACTCCCCACATTATCATCTGAGGGACACGGTCAAAAGCCTTCTCCAAGTCCACAGAACACTGGATGAGCAAATTCCCATTCCCAAGACAGTCCAACAATGTCCAGAGCCTTTAGCATCTCCAGGCATCTCATCCACACACACACATATATATATTTATATATGCGCATTCATATAAATGCACAAACGTGAATGATTGATAAACACTTGTGTAATATTTGAGAAGAACTGAGGAGAGGGGTGGACAGATTTTCTAAAATGGCTAATTTTGTCCCTCTGCCAAAGCTTCCCTCTGACATGGAGATGGCAGAGGTCATGTTATCTCATGTTTTTCAGCTGTATGTAAACCCTCAGGATGTTGTGTCAGACCAGGGGCCCCCAGTTTGCCTCTTGGTTTTGGAAGGAGTTCTATAGACTCTTCGGGGCCACAGCTAGTCTGTCCTCTTGTTTCCACCCGGAAGACTACAATCAGGAGCTTGAGACCAGACTCCATTTTGCTGTATAACATGATCCTTCACTCTGGAGCAAGCATTTGAATATGGATTCAGTATGGTCACAATTCTCTCCCTGTCTCTGCCATAGGACTTTCTCCTTTCCAGTGTGTGTGTAGTTACCAGCCACCATTGTTTCCTGAAGTAGAGGGGTAGGTTGTGGTGCCATCAGCTCTGGCTTTGGTGCGTCTCTGCCACATAACCTGGAGAAAACCCGAGCAGCTCTCCTCTGCACCTACAGCTGGTACAAGAGGTTGGTAGACAAGCGCCCTCTCCTGCTCCTTGCCACAGGGTGGGTCATAGGGTCTGGCTTACAACCTGGGTTTTCACCACATCTAAAGCAGCTGTGTCAGGTGAAGGAGGAGGCCTTTAGGAGTGGGGACCAGTATCTGTACAAGCAGACCAAAAACCAGCTGACAAAACAGATCAGAGCAGCTAATAAGAGCTAAAACATAGCTTCTCAGACGACCCTGCATCAGTTTGGAGAGACCTGCAGGACATCAACTACAGTAGACCCTCCTCCCAACCTGTAGGTAGCAATAGACTGGCTGAAGACCTGAACAGCTTCTACTTCAGCTTTTCCTTTTTTTGGACATCAGGAGAAACTCCCCTTCACCCACTCTTCCCACTCCCAAGAAATCCAGCAGCCCAAGTCAACTTCCAACAGCAGTTTATTTTCTTCAGAGCAGAAAATAACAAGCAAAAGGTGGGTAGCAACAACCCTAATCTTTCTTTACATGAAAATAAAGCAAACAAAATGACATTTGTGAAAATCACTTCTGTGTGGTGCACAATTTCTTACAGTGTTTAAATTTACATACAGTATATTTACAAAACAACTCTCTATTTAGCTATGTACACACGCTAATCAATCTTAAAAATGTACTATCTTTATAATCTTCAAATGTCAAGCTGGCTTTGTTTGAAGTGGCCGGAGAAGGAGCGAGCAGGCTGCAGCAGCTGAGATTTTAAAAGCTTCAGTGTCAGCATTCGGCCACTACCGTCATGGCAATTCTCTTTTCTACCTCCACTCAGCAGCAGCATCCATCACCACCTGATTAACCTAGACACACTACTGACACAGATACACACCCACACACTGCAGGGGCAGAGACAGGGGTGCACATTTCACTATTGACATGATCAATACATAATGAGGTCGTGTTGGGTCAATACCTCATGTAAATTAATCCATCTGTTACACAATAACATCATTTATTATCATGTGAATTAGCATCTTTGCACGTCACACAGCAGCACTATTGTCTCATGTAGGCTTGTATATTTAATGTTTTCATTGATTTTATAATATTTAAATGTTTTACTTTTCTACATAAAACACAGTCTATCAAAGTCACATTCCTCGTATCTGTGAACATACCTAGCAAATAAAGCTGATTCTGAGCCCAGGATTCTCTTGTACCTCAGAAAGATCTTGTTTAATCTCAACATGGTGTTACAGTATCATTCAAATATAAAAGAAAAACAAATGAACTAAAGTATTTTATTCTTTATGATTTTTCATATCACTGAGGATTGCAGGTAAGAGTGATAAAACATTTACAATCTAAGTGATGAAATCAGAATAATTCATTAGTTTGAAACAGAGAGAACAGAGTCAGCTGATCTTCAGTCAGCAGAGTTTCTCAGACTGACACAGAGACACTGAAGAGCCACGAGACCTGAACCCAAACCCAGGATAGAGAGGTTCAGTGAATGTGGTGTTGAAGGTGTGGAGGTGGATCAGTGTGTCAGAGGAGACTCTGTAGAAGGACAGAGAGCCAGCAGGACAGTCCACATACACTGCTACTCTGTTAGAGACAGAGGAGGAGGAGGAGGAGGAGG